TCATATTTTGTTCTATATGTTCTATTGTTCTATATACATAGGATTGAAAGCTGTACTAATGGACCCCCAAGGGTAAACATAGAGGCAGCAGGGAATGAACTGCTGCATGTAACAGGATTTCTCAAAAAGGGGGCATGACCCACTTGGGTGGTGTGGAATTCTTATTAAAACTTACTAGGTTGGGCTTGTGTGGGCAAAATGGGAGTGCTGTCAAAACTAACTTCTGCTATACCTGGTTTAGAAGGCTTGCCCAGGCAAAGCAAGTAGAAGAGCCCAGAGTGAGTCTGGGGGTACAGCTAAGCCCAGAGTGCTATGGGTGGCAGTACGTTCCTATTGGCTGTGACTTCCAGCATGGCTTGTAGTAATTTGGAGTGTCTGTGGAAGGGTATGCATGAATGAAATTCAGTATTTTTATCAATTACTTTACATGTGGAGTCCTTGATGCTCTCTGAGCTTGATTGTTTGCTTGCAGACATTTCATTACCCAACTAGGTAAAATCATCATGCTAGTGAGGTGGGGTTTGCTCCCTGTTTATATACAGTAGCTTGCCCTACCAGTATTAGTGGGGGTGTGGTTTTCTCCTTGGTAATTCCTTGATTAGGGTATTATTTTCTGTTTGATAGTTTGTCTGGTGTTAATCCCTGGTTATTTGGGTGTTGATTACTGGAGAGGATGTGTTCTGGTCTTTTTGTTTCCTTCTTAGCTTTTTACTGTCTCTTTTGAATGGTATGTAAATGTGGTTTATGTGTCTACTGATGACTGATTTCTCTGAATGCCAAGCTTCTAGGAATTACCTATACTGATACATATCTTGCCCAATCCCAATCTAATCATCAGTTTTATTCAAGGGGATAAGTGCACAAATACTTTTCTTGTTTTAAGGGGTTGTGTGATCACAATATTTGAGAAACAGAGTAATACAGTATAGAGCTACCAGGCCTGGACTGTAAAACTTTAGACAATCATGAATGACAGTAGAAAAGGTTTTCTGGATCTCTTGCCACCATCTAATGCACATCCAGATTTTGCAGCCCAAAGTAGCAATGACGAAAGATGTGGATGAACCTAAGCAGAGAACCCAAGTTCCACTCTTAGGGTATTCTCTAAGTATATTCAGTCTTGCACAGTAACACATTAATGGCTTCTACAAGGATCTTGTAGGAAGCAGGGCATCATGGTTTAGAACAAAGCCTGACAGACATTACAAATGGATGTTCCCATTTCCTAGTAGTTTTTAACTCATTAGACCATTCTGACTGAAATGATTTACATATAGATAATTAACATGAAAACCCCAAGGACTACTTAGCTGTTTAGCAGTGTATGTATTATAGATAACCATTTCCATACATCTAGTTCTAAATCCATTAACAAAAATTAATTTCTTCTCAGTGCATTACACAGCACAGCATGTTGCAATTGTATGCTTGCTAAATTACACCTTTTCATCACTTCTCAAGTGACCTTATAAACAGTTAAAATTTGCTGTTTGGGAAATGGGAGCTACTAGTTTTGACAATGGATATATTTATGAGGTAATATATGGCCAGATCCACAAACAAGCTCAGGAATGTATTAAATCTGCAAACAAACATCACTCCTGAGAGCAAATTCATATGGTGAGTGCTGAAACTGAGAGAAGGCAATGAAAAACAAAAAGATCTCGGCAGAACTCCAAAGTTTGTAGAAGTATATAACTCCCCAGGCGCCCCAAACTTCAATCAATGCAGTGTAGTAGGTGATCTATGTAAAGGGATCTCCCAGCAGAAAAGAAACATCAAAGATGAGGAATAGAATGCACTCCTAAAAAGGATTCACTGCAAAGTTGTGTTGCAGGATCACTTCTATCAATTATATGACTACACTAATTTCTTTATCTTTCTCTTCATGCTTTGACCTGCCTATACTTTAAGCACATCAAGATCAATCAAAGGAGTACATTAAAAAAAAAAAAACATGAAAAATTGACCTGAGAATGGGTGGGATCATCACAGATGCCAGTCATTCAGCATTATGTAGAAACCCCCACTTCCATAAAATGGCATAAATCAGACTTAACTTTTGGTTCTCATGGGAGAAGAGAAAGGAGTATTTCATACTGTCCATTGCTTCAGTGCAAAGACCTATCATTACAGCATTTCAGCCATGTAATTAGGACATTTTTAAAAAATGCAAATGGAATTGTAGTTATGTCCCCAATTGCAGCACTGACCCCTGATGACAAAACACTATTTACCTGGTTTACCCTAATCCTAAGAGTTCTTTAGAAGGTCAGTAATAGGAATGTTGTTTTCCATACTTCAAAGGAACAATTGGCATCTGTGCTCTTATGTCCTGGCCCTTCCCAATAGTGGTGTAAAAGGCCCTGCAGGCAACCTTAGACCCAAGCTAAGCTCTTTGCTTTGCTGGGCCTTGAGCTGCATCACTGGAAAATCAAGCTGCTTCACAACGCCGCTTCAAATCAAAATGTCAAAGCAGGCCAAATCAATTTGGCCATCCATATTGCGCTGGCTGAAAGGGTCTTTGCATGTATGCAGTACAGAAATCCTTTGACTTATCTGTTTTCCCTACAGCTGATGTAGCTCCCAGCTAATGTAGAGAATCACAGAGATGACCTTGGAGAAGGAATACAACTGTTATCAAAACATGATTTAAGCCTGGGAAAAGAAAAGAATATTAGAAAGGAATTTAAATTGGCCCCTTAACTCTTGCCTTAACTCTCTTTTGTTTAAGATGGAAGTAAAACACTGTCAGACTTTCAAGATTCTGTTACTATAGCTTATATCAATAAAATAGGATTCCAGTATTTCTTATGGAATCTGTTTCCTGAGCTGGTCTACCTCAAACAGCTGACAGCTAGGCTAGGAATACCTTTGTTACAGAATGAGGCAGGTGGACCCCCCAGACAATCCAGTTATGTTACTACATCTGTTATGGGTGCTCTCAGTAGCTACACCCTACTACATAGGAGAACATATATATAATGAACAAATGACCCTCAACTTTAGACAATGTCTTTAAGTAAAGAAAACCAAGTGGAGCAACTATAGAGGGGGAAGAGAAGAAGAAGAAAAAGCTGCCCCATGGTGGAGAACTGAGGAAGGGGAGCCCCTCCCTGATGTGAGAGGACAGAGAGGAGACATCCATAGTCCCCATTAAAACTACTGAACTATTTAAAACTGCACTGAAAGAAATTGCCTTCACATCTCACCTAAATACTATCAGAGGGGAAAACACTTTGCTTTATAACTAAGGTTTAAGGAAAAAAGCAAATAATACTATAGGACAGTGTTTCTTAACCTTAGGAACTTTAGGATGGGTGGGCTTCCAGCATGGCTGGCTGGGGAATGCTGGGAGTTGAAGTCCACTCATCTTAAAATTCTCAAGGTTGAGAAACACTGCTGTAGGACATTGTTATGTACAAACAAACACAGAATTCACTGCAGCCTGATTTTAATGGATCCAGATTGCTTCTGTGATGAAAAACTTTTGACATTATAAGAATAATAAGTTTTAAAACCCTTTCATGTACAATTTCTATCATTATGTTTCACAAATGTCTGCAGTATATACTCTGTGTTTAAAATGATCCAGGGAGAAAAAGCCACTGTTTATGCTTTGAATCCTGGGTGGCTTCAGTTCCATAAGAGGGCTACAACAGGACCTCACCATTCTTAATGCTTATCTCAGTCTTAATAACTAGCCAGACAACTGACTCCATAGCTTGGCTTATCAACTGTAGTTCGTCATAACTATAGGAGAGGAGGCACGAAATGAACTATATAACAATGCTGTAGAAGTAATTAATATTTAAAGGTTTGAAGTCAAAGGCTGATATGAAACAGTTTTTGGCACTTAATTCCACATTATTAGATAGCAAAATGAACAAAACATGATATGATATCTACGTTAGCTGAATTTTTAAAAAAATCAGTAGATCAAAAGGCTTCCTTTTACTACATTTTCACTTTTAATATCTAAAACAATCCTTTGTAAACAGCCTTTGATATGGAATAATTATTTACTAACTAGCAATACGAAACACAAGTCTCTGAAGTGCTGTGATTGTTTATTCTGCTTCTCACTATATCTTACTACCATGCAGAATCACAGATTACTTGTGAGTTATGATTTAAACAATCAAGTATGTTCACAAGTAATGGGACACAGAATTTTATTTTAACTATTTATTAATAGGCTATTGTCCTTGACAGGTGGCATTTCCTCACCAACTGTGACTGTGTCTAAGTAGGGTGATTCCTGTTGGTACCTGGAAATCTTAGGGCTGTGGGAAGCATGTGTATGTACGTATGTATATATATGTGTGTGTGTGTGTATGTATGTGCGGAGAGAGGGGGAGAGAGAGAGGAAACCATTGCAAACTACTTTTTATCACGTCAAGCAAACTACATGGATTTGTCTATATAAATCACCAGGCACAGAGTTCAACCTGAAGGGAAATTTATGTTCCTGTTTTAGTTGACAGGGTTAGGATTAGGGTCCAAAAATATACTCTCCACCCACAAAAAGCAAAGACAACAGATCAGAAGGGAAGGGAGTCACCAACACAGTGGTGTTATTTTCTATCAAGGGAAATTTCCAGACAATTTTTAAGTAACCCAAAACTGCCTTGATTATGCTAGGTATAAATTGATCTGGATAATTCCTTCAATAGGCTTTCAAGATTACATTACATTACCCTGCTATCAGTAAAGATATTTCTGGAAATCTAAGTAGTACTTATTTCCTGAGCTTGTCAGCCTTACAGGGCTTCACAGAAATGAACAACATTTTCTAGCTAGCACCAACCCACCCCCCAAACACAGTATAGTCAGGTGGCAATAGAAAACCAATGATCTGCAAGGAAGAAATACAGCTTACTCTTTTCATGTAGCAGCCCCTCTCTGGATCACTGTCTTCCCCTTGCAATTGCTAGGGGG